GAGATGGACACACGTCTCAAAAAAAAAAATCGGTTTTTATATAATTTTTTTTCTTTATTTAAAATACTTGATAGTTGTTATGGTATAAAACACTGTTCCAGAGTATGAATTTATATATTAACAACTTCACGCCGCTTCCGATAAGAGTTTCATATATATATCTTTTTTTTTTATTTTTCTTGTGTATTTCTTTGCGGATCACTGAAGTTAAACTCTGTCATACATTCTGCCCGTTCCGTTCAAGAAAACTCAACCAAGAAGACCGAAAATCCTCCGAATGCTCCTTTTATTTACTTTTTTATAACTGCTTAACTCATACTTTTTAATCCGCCGTTTCACGGTCAATGCACTTAATTAATGTTTTCTACTTCGAGACTCACGAAAGCTTTCCATTATTTTGTTATTGATTCTCTTACCTTGCAATGTTTACGCTGCATTCTCAGCTTCTCCTATTACTCACTGCAACTTTTGGCGATCAAACGAAAATTATAACAAAACAAATTAAAATGACATTTCTCATATTGCAGGTTTTTTTTTGTTATAATTTTTTTTATATGCGTGTTTGAATATCAGTGATTTTTTTATTTTCTTTTTTTTTGTTTATTTTTTTTTTAAATATTTTTTAAAGAAAAAAAGAATCATCACTGTAAGATCAATTTTACTTCAAATTTTTTACTTCAAAAATTGATCATTACAAAACGATGTACCTCTATCAGTAACAATCTTTGCAGGTAACCCGAAATAGCTGGACATCTCGTTTAAGACGGCGATTACAGGAGTTGTTTTTGTATTACGTACAGCTTTCACAATCAGAAATTTCGAGAAAGCATCTGAAATAGCCAAAACGTAGCTATTACCTCTTTTACTTTTAATGAAAGGTCCGAGGTGATCGATGTGAATCAAACGGAAAGGTATCGGTTCAACGTCATCATAGTGCAGAGTACCCTCGCGTTTACCTCCTCGTGATTTGAAATAGCAGCACTCTACACACGCAGCTAAATAATCTTTTACGCATTTTCGCATCTTCGGAAACCAAAAATTTTGTTTAATACGCTCGATAGTCTTTTCAAGCGCAAAGTGACCGGTATCATCGTGACAGGACTGCACAACTCTCCATCTTACAGCTTTTGGTACAACAAATTGTAGACCTTCAGCGGTACGTTGATATAAGCGATGATTTTGTAATTTGTTTTTCTTGTGGGGACTTTAAATCTCCGTTTAAAATAGCAATTAATTCCAAGAGCTCTTTATCTTGTAGCTGCATTGTGAGAAGCCAATCATCAATATTAGCTGTGATCTTCATTATAAAACCGGCAGGCTCTACTTCATTTGATGGTTGATCGGGAGTACGGCTTAATGCATCTACGTGAGCAAGGCGGTTGCCTTGACGATGGATAGTATCGAAATCGTATTCAAGTAACTTGAGCCACCATCGAGCTATTTTAGACTTTAGCTCCTTATTAGCTTTGTTGTTGCGATTGCAGAGCAATTCGTGACCAAACGAAAATGTTTACCAAGTAGGTAAACTCGGAATCGCTGCAAAGTTTCAACCACTGCCAACACCTTGAGTTCGTAGCTATGATATCTACTTTCTGCTTCCGTACAATGGCGACTATAATAAAAAACTGGCTTCCACGGTTTACCTTCGTTTGTTTTAAAACACCCGCTAGACCAACACTACTTGCATCGGTATGCACTTCATGTTCAGCGTTACTGTCGTACAGAGCTAAAACCGGACCGCTACATAGCATATTTATAAGTTTGTCAAATGCATTTTTCTGCTCAACACCCCATACGAACTCTTGTTCTGATTTTCGTAGCAACATCGTGATTGGTTTTGAGATGATTGAGTAATCCCAAACAAATTTGCGGAAAAATCCAGTCAAACCCAAGAAGCGTCGTACTTCTGTTACGTTGGTTGGCTGTTTAAAATTTTTAATTGCTGTTACTTTTTGATTACCTGGTGCTATTCCATTTTGATCAATAACGTGCCCTAGGTGTACTAGTTCCGTTTCAAGAAATTTGCACTTGGACATTCTTAGCGTCAAATTGCTCTCTTTTAACAAACAGAGGAATTTTTCTAACCGTTCTATACCTTCTTCTATACTTTTACTGGGTATAATAACATCATCGAGATAAATTAAAACTTCACCACGGCCCATCGACGACGCAATCTTATCCATTGTCGCTTGGAAAACTCCGGGGGCGTTAACCATTCCAAATGGCATTCTGTTGTATTCGAAATGACCATCCGTAGTAACGAAAGCTGTATATTGCTTTGAGGACTCTTCAATTTCTATTTGGTGATAGCCCATGCGAAGGTCAAGTGTCGTAAAGAATCTGTTACCTGAGAGCTGAGTAAACTGCTCCTCCATATTTGGCATAGGGTAAGGATTTTTAATAGTGATTTTATTTAGTCCACGATAATCTACGCAGAGTCGATGCTCACCATTTTTCTTTTCTACCAGAACCACGGGTGAAGCATACGGTGATGACGAAGGACGTATGATGTCATTTTTAAGCAAATCAAGAACAATGTCCGAAACGATTTTGCGTTTGGCAAATGCTATCCGATATGGTTTTGCCCGAATAGGTACGTCAGTGCTTACTTTAATACTCATTTTGTTGATAACACATTTGCCTAGTTCGGACATATTTTCTGCAAAAACGCCACAGTACGTTGAGAGTAGATCTTTAAGTTGTTTGCGTGCATCCGACGGTATTTCTACCGATGTTTGCAGATCTTCTATATGACATTTGTCTCCCTCTATGATAAGACTTTTGCCTTCACGGCACAATACATCACGACCCAGCAAAATATTTTCGGGTATTTTTCCGTCATCCACGATCAATAAATCGGTTATAAATTCGTTATTATCAAATTCTACAACAGCATTTATTTTAGAGGTGCAAATAAATTTTCCATCGGCAAAACCACTCAAAGTCACAGAACAACGCAATATTTCATTTTTAAAATCTTTTGCAAATGTCTCCCGAATTAGAGTGTATGCACTACCAGGATCTATAAATGATCGCGTCGGTTTTTGATTTACTTTTACAACTTTCGTCACGAGCTCATCTCTTTTTTCGCAAGTACTTTCAATTTTGTTAACCGTTAGTTTATTCTCGGCATTGTTTTTCTTACTAGGACAATCGGTCTCCTTATGCGTAGTGCGATTGCATATGGAACAACGCTCTTTACGTTGTGGTTCAGGACACTTGTTTGAATAATGGCCTATTCTAGAGCAATTGAAACATTTGACTTTTCTAATCGTCTCGCTTTCCTTATTATGGAGCGTTTGTATCCTAGAATTGTCTCTAAGATCGTGATTAGTATTTACCGGGTATTTAGGTTTTGGTTTTTCGTTTAAGTTCTGAACATCATTATATACAGTATAAATATTTATATCACGTAAGAGTTCATTACAGAGAGTGTATTCATTCGAGATTTTCTGCTTTAAGCGTGGCTCATTGATGCTATTAATTATATACCGATCAATTGCATTTTCGGGTACGTTTCCACGAGTACCTATAGACATCATTTTGTAGTAATATTCTTGCGGACTTTCATTAAATTGTCTCTTCGTTTGGGACATTTTGATGTATACGTCTGCTGTTTTCTGTAGAAGCAAAGTCTTTCAAAAATTTTGTAACAAATTCCGTCCAAGAAAGAAACACTTCTTGCGAATCAACCCAATATTTTGCGTATCCTTGCAACTTTTGTTGCACTGCAAATACTAATGTTTGATCGTCCCAACGATATGTAGTTCGTAACATATCGATGCGTTTTATGAACTGATTTGGCATAAGAGATTTGTCGCTTGACGGATTGAACTCAGGCAAAAGGGTTACAATCTCTCTAACGTTTCCACAAGGATTTTGCGCGTATGGTGGGTAATATGCAATATGACCCCCGTTCATATGTTCATGCCGCATATTACCTATATAACTCGTGCTTGGCACACTACCAACTGGCATGCACCCCAATGCTGCATACTGTGGGTTTGGCCCCGATGATATGTACGGCGTATAAACTGGCACAGATGTTGTGAAATGATTTTGAATCGGCATGTAGTTTTGACGTGATGCACAATTATGGTTTATATTATGCGCATTAACCGGAAATGTATTCATACCCGACGATATTGGCATAAAATTATTTACAGACGTTGACATTATTGGCCTTTGCTCCTGCATATTGACATTAGGAATCGGCACTCCCATTGTCGTGACGTTGCTTACATTCAATTCTGCGTTAGATTTATTTTCATTCATATATACTGGAGAAGATATACTTTGTGGCTGGAAATTCTGCTGACTCGTTTGCAGTTCACGTAACGTTTTTTCCAAGAAATTAACTCCCTCCTTTAACGCGGCTGTATCATTGTGAGCACTTACGTATGCTTCTTCACTATGATTTTTCTCTAACCGGCGAATTAAACCTTTTTTATTGCCACTGGTTGGCAATTCTGCGTTTTTACATTTTTCCCGTAATTCGTTTATTTTTAGACTGCGTAAACTCATCGTTATCGTTTTGTTAGGTTAATCCCACTTCTGAAATTGTCATAGACGGCTTTTATTTTGTATATCAGAAAATTCACATTTTTAATTTTAATTCGAGAAAACACGCGTGTTATGCTTTCTAAAAAAACTCGTTAGCACACTGAACTTACGTGCGATACAACTGTCATGTTTAATATAATAATGTGTTTGGAAAGAACATAAACGTGTTCCGAACACATTCGTGTGGAATGTGTTCGGAAATCGTTTTATTAAGGGTGACACAACCATCAGCTAAAAGTTGATGATCTGGATTAACGATTAAATAGTCGATTACAACATGATGCAAATTTTTCATTCTTTAATTTTGTTTGCTGAAGAATCCAAAGTACTGGACGTCCGGATTAACGGCGACTGTGTTTATTTATTTAAACATTTTTACATACATATTTGTTTGTAAGCATTTTAAATATTTAAAAATTTTAAATTTCCGTTTGCAGGATGCTTCAATGGTTGAAAAGGGATATAGCAGTAAAGTTATTTTTAATGGAAGATTTGCTCTTGAAAATGGAAATTTTGCCAGTGAGCACATATATTGTGGTTCTCATTTACCTGATGATTATTTTTCAACAGGAAAAGAACTTTATATTAAGTTTCGAAGCAATAAACAAACTTATGACAATAGATTTATTTTAACTGCGACAGAAGTCAACGGTAAGAATAATCGTTCAAATCAAAATTAAAAGTATATATGTAACTTTAGTCAGAAGTTTATTAAATTTTATTCATTAATGCTTTGTTAAGGTTGTTTTCGAAATTTTACTGGAACTCAGGGACGAATTTTTATTCGGGATACTGAAGCTTTTTGTGATATTTATATAAATGCTCCACAAAACTACTTTATTAGTTTATATTATGACGAACTAACATTCTCAGAGTACAACTGCAGTACCGAGTATATAGAAATTTTTGATGTACATACTAACAAATCATTACAGAAACTTTGTTCATATATGGAACCAAGTAAAAGTCTTTTTAGCAACAGTAATCAATTGCGAATGCATATTATGATGAATGGATTCAATACTGAATATGATGTTACTTACTTAGCCAGCAAAAATAGTTCAGGTTGTGGAGGAAAATTATATAATACTGCTGGAATTATAACGAATCCATTTTATCCAAACAACGTTCGTAATAATTCAGATTGTCGTTGGGATATTCAAGTTCCTAATAATCTTCATGTGTTACTTTCTTTTAAAGGTAAATTTATACAATATATTTTTTATCAATTATATTATAGTGTGTGTGTTAACGTAAATAATTATATTTGCATTTTATAGAATTCGATTTAGGCGCAAGAACGACGTGTCATTCCGATTATTTAGAAATTATCGAATATGAAAATACAACTGAAAAAGTCGTAGATCGTTTTTGTGGCGAGGTAAGTCAATGATAAACTTTAAGATGTGCTGCATTTGCTAGTACACTTTTACACTTAAAATAAGTTAAATCAAGAGCACAATACGGTACATAAGTAAGGTAAAACAAAAATATTTTATAATTTTAATTGTTAACAATATAACAGTACTATTTGAGAAATTCTAGAACAATACTGAAAAAATAACTGTCGTTATGCTCTCCTGATATCAGCGAATAACGGATTTTGCACATTTGATTAAGGAAACATGCCAGTTTTGTCCTATCTATTTTAACTGAACCAATTCTTTTTATACCAAGATAAATAATCCAGATATATCAATATCTGCTCCATACATGTCAGGCCGTACATTGAAACTATGCCGAATTTTTATACAGATTATTTCGATTTGTATGTAACCAAATAATTCTTTTTTAACAAAACGAAAACTTCACCCACTTAGAGCGAAACGATGAGAAATTGCTAATTAAAATTTATTTTTTTAACATTTTGGCATATCTTTGAATACACGTGATTTTTCTACAATAATATAAATTACTGTCTTTTGGGGTTGCGGTATAATAATTTCTTACTACTTTTAGTAACTTTATGTTCACTTTTAGTAATGTAATAGTATGTTTTCACTCCTTACTTGTTGCATGTAAAATTTGTTAACTATACAAAGAGCTTCCGCGTTTTTTAACTTTCTTGAAAATAAAGTGAGGAAAATTAGACCAAAAATGTTGAAGTAACCCTGAAAAATAAATTTCAAAAGGAAATTATCAATATTTGAAGTATTTGTCTTATGTTTTTTATGTAAAATGTAAACACACAACAGCTGAGCTGTAAACAATGACACTATGGAAGCAAGTATTTAATAAAATCTTTGTTATTATTAATTATCAACTCGTCAACTTATCAACTCGTATGGCTAAAATTTTTTTTTTGTTATTTGAAACACAATATGTACCATAATATAAATACATGTTTTATTTGACTACGACTAGTTCAAGTGCAAAGAACTATCATGCAGTTTTGTTATATATCAGAATACGTTTTAAAATTGTCAAGTTGTCAAAGACTTAGTGCTAATAAAGTAGTAATCTAAATTATTATTAGACTACTGATTCGGGATTAGATCTGAAGGCTTTGTTCGTTTAAGTCTCCTCAGCAGGTCAGATGTATTAGACAGATGGTTGACTGTCTCATTTGGATGCTGTTGTAATCGTTTTTGGTGCGTTACTGCAAAATAATAAATTTAGCTTAATAAAAATTTAATTCTTCTTCGTCACTTTTGGCCTATGTTGTACCATCTGCTTTAATAGGAGGATTATGTTTTGTAGGTTGTTTTACTGCTTTCACGGCTTTCCACAGCGAGTAATCTGTGCGTTTCTCATAGGAAAGGATTCTAAGATTCTGTTGTATATTATCGTTTTTAACATTATTAATAAGTTTTCGTAGTTTCCTTTTTAATTTCGTTTTATCAGTTGGTGATCGTGTTTGTTGCCATTTTTTGCGCAATTTCCTTTTTTCCCATATTAGTTTATCAATTTCTTTTGGAAGGGTTGGTCTAATCTGGTGTTTAGAGAACTGAAGAAATCCATGCTGATTTCTGAAACTGCTGTGTAAATAGAAGAACTTCGTTATCCACTTCAATCGTGGAGTTCAGATCAGAGTTAAGATTAAGAGTGTTTTCAAAATGCAGCGTAAAGTAATTCCAGTTAGTAGATCTATTTATTAGGCAAGGCTGCGGTTCATTTATGACTACACTTTTATTAATAGAAAAGTGCACAGGTTAATGATCAGAAAAGAGATCATATCCATTTTTTATTTGTAAGAGTTCTTTCGGTATCTTTTTAATTATGAAAAAGTCGGCCAATATGTTGGGCTTTCAGTTGATAAGACATCCCATCCTGTGGCTTGTATGGCTTTTAATAGTTCTCGGCCCTTAATTGTAGTTAATCGCGAATCCTTATGGACATGTTTAGCGTTGAAATCTCTCCCCATAATGAATTTATTTTTAAATTTAGAAAGAAAGTTTATATATTGATCTGTACTAATAGAATGTCTTGGAGGACTGCAGACCGAAATAATTGATAATTTTTGATTTTGTTCTTTTATTGTAATAGTTGTGGCTTGAAACTCGCTACAGCTGTTCCCTTTCTGTTCATAGTAACTGATGGTTTCTCTTATTATAATAGCACTTCCCCCTCGTGCATTGTTATTCGGGTGAGTAGTGTGGTAAGTTTCATAACCTCTAAATTTTATATGTGATTCCTTCGTAAATTGCGTTTCTGCTATTAGACATATATCGATGGACTTTTTGTAAAGAATAGTCTGTAGTTCGTTTTGTTGATGTAGCAGCCCATTTGCGTTCCAGAGCATAACTTTTATTGCATTACATACGGTGTTTGGGAAGGATCTGTTCTAGTTTATTTATTCGTTCATCTAAAACTTTATAAAATTTTTCCTGGTTTTGTAGCAGTTGAAGTACCAACTGCAAGGTTGAAGAAATCTCTCCAGGGTTTTGAGAGTTATTATTTGATTTTACGTTTGAGCATATGAAGGTTTTCCATAATTTTTTGTTAATTTAGAAACTGGCAAATTTTTTACATATTCAGTGGCAGCAGAGTTGAGTTTATCTGGCTTACTACTTTGGTTATCTTTCTGAACGATTTTGTTTCGCAACTTTTGGTAGCTCTTTGGCTACAAAACATCCTCGATAGTTAGCTGGATGAGATTCGCCACAATTGCAGCATTTTGGTAAAGTTTCTGCTGGTTTTATACAGCTCGTTGTTGGATGCTTTCCCGAACATTTGATACATCTTGCCGTTTTTGAACAGTAGTTCCTTGTGTGACCAAAAGTTTGACAATTTTTACACTGAGAAATTTGGTTTGGTCTTTCTACTGCTTCAATGGAGTAAATCTTTTTAATGTCTTCAATAGACTCAAAGGTGAGCAGAAACATATCTAACGGCTCCTTTGTTTTCCATTTAAATTTCCGATCTGCACTTATGGCTTTGAGCCCTTGTCTCTGTAAGTCCTCGACAATAAGTTTAGGTTCACAAGAGTGATGCAGGTTTTTAACAATAACACGAATAGGTCTTGTTTGTTTATCTTCATATGAGTACCAATCTATCTTAGCATTAGACAGCAGCTTTGTTATGCTTCTGTAGTCATCTGCTTCCCTGGTATTGAGTTTATACTTCCCGTTATTTATAAGCTTGAATGAAAAATCAGTTTTCGCAGTGTTTTTAATGTCTTCGTAAATCTTTATGTAATCAGTAACTCCTGATATCATTGTTGGAGGGGGAGAATGCACTTTGGGGCCTTTAGTATTTAATAGAATTTCCGGTTTCGAATTTGCATTTGTATTTTTATCATATGAAACATGAAGCTCTGGAGAAGATTCAACTTTTCGTTTTTTAGTCGGACGTTTTTGTTTCAATATCAAGTCAGTTTCTAACGCCAATTCCTCTTCATCAGTGTGGTACTGAACACTTGTGCTATCTAATTTTGTATCAACCTCATTCTTATCAGCTTCTTTCTTCTGTGATAATGAACTATTCTTTTCTACCTTTAGTTTTTGATTTTCTTTCTTAAGGTTTCCACAACTGATTTCTAATAAATTTATTTCTTCTGTTAAAAATTTAATATTACGTTTTAACTCACTTAGCATGTTATCTTGAGTCTGATCCAAAGGCCTTTCATTTTTACATGAAGGGGATGAAATATTCCTCATGGCATCTTGCATCCTTTTAGGCTGAGCTATTCGTTGATCATAGTTCAAAGCCTAAAACAAGGTTTGTGTTGATGACAGATTTGAAAAATGTCTGATTGTTTAAGCGTTGAAATTGCCCTGTAGCGCACAGTTTTCACGGAGTAAAACAAAATTACGAAAATAAATATAAATAATTGAAAGAATGGAACAAAATATAATAGTTTCACAATTTATTTGCAGTTTATTTATTTAATTATTTAAAATTTTAAGGTTTATAAATAATAAAAATTTATTTTTATTTAAGTTTTTAAAGGTACTTGTAATTTACACTATGGCATCGCCACATTTGCAATTTCTTACTTTCGTTAAGAAAAGCATATAGTGTCTCTATCAGCTGTTGAGCAAAACTAATATTTTTTGTGTTTGTTTAATTTGCAAATTAAAGTTTAATTTTGTAGAATAAAAAATTTTTAAATTCACAAAACCGAACTTTACCTTTTAAAATCGGGCACCATTTTAATAAATTTTTTTTTTATTTATGATCAATGGATCAAGTGTTCATAACTTTTAAAATTTGAAATTTAACTTTTCGGATTAAAAACAATAGAAGTTGATCGATGGCTAAAATGATATGAATAATGATAAAATGATAAGATTAATTAAGAACAGCTGTGAGGAAGAACAGAACGACGGAATAATAAGTGACGCTTTTAGTAACCGAAGTGGCGTTAAACAAGGCTGCGCCCTCTCACCATTACTCTTCATCACAGCTCTTGACTTTGTCCTCTAAAACATCAATAAAAACCCAATTGGCAATTGGTGTCTAAATACCAAATTCGATGAACTTGTGTATGCAGATGACGTTGTTCTTACGGCAAGCAACTTCAGGATTTGCAGAGAAAAATTGACAGCTTTTCTGAGGCCAACAACAACACTCCTATAATTATCAACAATACTCGGATTGAAAACGTTTCGCAGTTTGATTATCTAGGAAGCAAAATCAATATTAGCAATGGTACTTTAGCTGAATTCAAAAAGTGCGTACTACATTTAAAATGACCAACAATGTATTGCGATCAAACGCATTTCAGCAAAATATAAAAATACTTATCTATAATACTTGCATCTGTTTTACTATATGGATGCGAAACATGGCATGCATAATTAATTTATTATTATATTATTATATAACAATTATTAACAGTACTTCTTAATTTATACGCCTTTCCTTAAAATCGGAAAGTGTGATAATTAGATTATCAGAAAGTGTGATAATTAGATTATTGGCAGTTTATAAAATAGG